GAGCCGCTCCTGAACCGGAAAGCGTCTAGAACGGGGATTGGGATTAGGCCGCCGCCGCACGGGAGAGCCCCAAGCACCGCCGTTCGGCACTGGGGAGCCCCGCTAGGGGAGCCCTGACCGCCGCTCGGTACCGGTAGAGCCTCAGAGGGGCCCGAGTCCTGCTCCGAGCGGGACTGCGGAAGGAGCCAGCGAAGCCCGGTGCGGCGCCGCCCGGGAGCGGGAGCCGCGTCCAGCCCGTGACCAGCCGGCAGCTGCGGCCGGAGCCCGGTGTGCCGGTCCGGGAGCTGCTATGGCCTCACAGAACGCCGACCCCGCCGCCGTGTCCAGCGCAGCAGCCCGCAAAGCGGCCGAGACCGGGGCCACGGCGGCCCGCGGCGCGGTGGGGAAGAGGTGAGCGGGGCCGGGGTCGGGGCTGAGGGCGGGGGCTGCCCCGGGGAACCGGCCAGTAACGTGTGATTTCCCCGCAGGCTGCAGCAAGAACTGATGGCGCTGATGGTGAGTGGGGCCCCTGGGCCGAGTCGGGGTTTGGGGATCCTGGGACCAAGCCCGGGGCTGGGGGTCCCAAAGGCACCTGGGGCTGAACTAGGGTGTGGGGTTGGGTATCTCGGGGTGTCCTGGGTCGCCCTGACGCGCTGCCCCCGCAGATGTCCGGTGACAAAGGCATTTCTGCCTTCCCCGAGTCCGACAATCTCTTCAAGTGGATCGGGACCATCGACGGCGCCGCCGGGACGGTGAGAGGGGAGATCCCGGTCGACGGGGGGGGGCATACCCTGCTCCACCTTCCTGCCTTCAGCTGAGGGTGGTCCCAGCCCTCCACTGCCCCTGTAACTCTTTTTCCCTAAGGCTTTCCCCCACCTCTAGGGCTACAGCCCCTCCTAACTCCTGTCCCACTCGACTCCCACCCCCAGGCCTATGAGGAGCTGCGGTACAAATTGTCGCTGGAGTTCCCCAGCGGGTATCCCTACACAGCACCCACCGTGCGGTTCCTGACCCCCTGCTACCACCCCAACGTCGACACCCAGGGCAATATCTGCCTCGACATCCTCAAGGAAAAATGGTCGGCGCTGTATGATGTCCGCACCATCCTGCTCTCCATACAGAGCCTGCTGGCAGGTGGGTCTAGTGGGCAAACTGCTGCTCCAGTGGAGTGTTGGGGGTAAGGGGTGATGATGGTGGTGGTGGTGAGGATCTCCAACCCAGATCAGGGCTCAAGGGTGTCCAGGTCACCCCCCACCAGCTAACCCAGCCACTGTTTCCAGAGCCAAACATTGAGAGCCCTCTGAACACACATGCCGCTGAACTCTGGAAGAACCAAGTCGGTGAGTGGCTGAAGCAGAACCCTCCTGCCCCCTCCCCAGTGGGACAGGCAGTAGCACAGCCCCCAGTGCCTGTCTGGCCCCACAGCTGCCCTGGCTGCTGCCTCAGGACCCTTGACATCACGTTCCTCTCTCTCCTCAGCCTACAAGAAGTATGTGCGGGAGACGTACAACAAGCAGACCAAGAGCCAGGAGACCTGACCGTCACCACCCCCCAATACACCCCCTCCCTCCCAGCTGTCCCCTGTGTTCTGTATCATAGGCTGTTTTTAAATTAATGTTGCAGTCCGAGCCACGGTTAATGTATAAATAAATGCACATTTATAACTTCTGTAGGGGATTCTATGGCAGCCCTGGCACACCCTGAGTGTCCAGAGGCCCCTATGTGAGTGTGGGCAGGTAGGGTGGAAGGGACACTGATCTCTGTGGGGTAACAGGAGCTTTATCAATATTTGGAGGCCTGGAGTGGTCCCATTCCTTCTGCAGGGTGGGAGCAGCCCCCACCATCACCTGCAAAGGCAGGGGTTGAGGACTGTAGGTGTACATAGGGCCTCTGTCCCCTGCTCTGTGACAGGGGTGCCACCTCTGCTGCTATCTCCTGGCCCCCTAGCTCACAGCACCCCACAGCAGTGCCCAGCACAGGGGCCTCCCCAGGCTGCTCTCTCTGTGGTGCCGCTTGTCTCTGCTGGCTGTGTGGTCTCTGTGGCTTCCACTGTCCATGGTGGAATGTTGGCTCCGCTCTCCATCTCTGCCAGCGTGGCCCTCACCTGCTCGATCTCCTCCTCTAAGCACTGGGTGGGTGGGGGCTGGGTGGGACCCCCTCCTCGCCGGCTGGGCAGCCCCCAGCCCCCCAGCCCAGTGTGCAGTGGGGCAATACCACCCCCTTTCACAGAGAAGAGCTGGCAGAGGTGCTGGGCTCTGTACAGGTCTTGCAGGAAGAGCTCCAGGACGGAAAGGAAGAGCACCCACAGCCGCTCCAGCTCCTGCTGCTCCCGGGGGCTCACTGGGGCCTGTCGCAGCCCCTCTAGCAGCACCCGTCGCAGCCCTGTGGGATACGCGTGCTGAGCAGGGGCAGCTCTGGAGCCCCTCCTTGGCCCCAGTGTGGGTGCAGAGGTTCCCCACGGCTGCTGCCCGGTCCAGCAGTTTCCTCCTTACCCATGCTGAGCTCACAGGCCTCTGCGCTCCTCCTGCGTCGCTCCTCACGCAGCTGAGGGCTGTCACTGCTCCCCCCAAGCTGCAGCACCAGCTGCCGGTGTCCGGCCGTGGCCTTGCAGAGGGCAACCTGGGCTGTGGCACACGTTCCCACTGCCCCCCGCCCACGGCACGCATCCCTTCTGCCTGGTGCCATTACACCCCGTGAATACAGGACAGGGGCAGGATGCCCACGGTGGTCGCTGGCTCTCCAGGGGACTCGGCTGCTCTGTGCCACAGCGCTGCGGGTATGTGACCAGCTCTGAGCTGTGTCTGGGTCCGGTGGTCCCACCCACCCTGGCTGGGAACTGTACCCCGCCTCATCCCTCTTGCTGTGCTCCACTCCAGCTGGTCCCCGGGGAGCTGTGATGTTCAGCAGGCTGGCACAGCCTCTTCAGAGAGACATGCAGAGACAAGTGTCACCCTTCCTCTGTGAGGAGAGGGCTGCTCCTGCCCTTCCACCTTCTAGCCAGGTCCTCTGGGTGGGAGATGTGGGTCCCAGTGTGGGGCAGGTAGTAGTGGCTTTCTAGGACCCCTGTGGTCCCACAGCCCTGCTCTGGAAGACCCTCGGGGCCAGGGCCATGCTCTCTCGCCCTCTGGCGTGTGAACGAGCTGCTCTGCATGGAAACTCTGAGCTCAGCACTGGCGCCTGCTCAAGAGCCCGTGGGAACCACAACTCTGGGCTGCCCCTGCAGCACCGCCCTGTGGCGTGAGCTCGCCCACGTTCCCTCCCTGGGGAGCTGAGCAGGGGCACACTGACACTACCCCCTCCCCATGCACCCCCAGTGAAATCCTACACCAGCAGCTCAAGCCTTTCCTCTTTAATTGAGGCTTGAATCAAAGCCACAGGTGACAGATGGGAGGAAAAGCTCAGCCGCCGGTGGTGAGATGAGACCGGGATCCTGGCACGGAGCAAGGTCCCAGCCAGTGCTGAGGGCCAGATGCTGTGGAGCTGCTGCTCCCTGGACAGCAGGGGAGCAGGGCTGGGTGCAGCAGCCGGCCCTAGGAATGTCTGGTCCCTTACTGCACACCCTCCATCATCTTCAGGAACTCTGCAAGAAAGCAGCAGCCTCAGCCCATGGCCCTGCCTGGGTGCACAACATGTGTGCTTGGCTGGGGCCATCGCTCACCATCAAAATCGATGCGACCATCATTGTTCTTGTCTGAGTCCTTCATCATGTCCTCTATGTCGTCATCAGTGACAGGCTCCCCAGTGGCTCTTAGGATCTCACCCAGCTCCTCAATGTCAATGAACCCATCCGCATTCCTGCAGAAGGGTGAGGGAGGGATGGGACCTTACTTGCCCCCACAGACAGGATGGGTCACTTTGCCCCTACACTCACCGGTCAAAGATGCGGAAGCAGTTGGCCAGCTCCTCCTCAGACTTGCCTTTGGCATCCTCTTTCATCTGGCGCACCATCATGACCAAGAACTCCTCAAAGTCGATGGTGCCGCTGCCTGTGGGGAAGAAGCCAAGCATGGGTCAGGCTGCCTGCCCAGGGTCCAGTACCCCTCCACCAACCACCAAGGGCTACTCACCATCCTCGTCCACCTCCTCAATGATGGCATCCAACTCCTCTTTGGTGGGGTTCTGGCCCAGCATTCTCATCACCGTCCCCAGCTCCTTGGTGCTGATGTCTCCACCGCCATCAGCATCAAACATGTCGAAGGCGGCTTTGAACTCTGTAGAGAGACAGGTCAGGTCTCCACACAATGGGACAGAGCCAGGCCTTGCACCATGGCCATGTCTGACCCCTGTCACTGCCATCCCCACACTCACCCGCAATCATCTCCTCGCTGAGGAAGGCACGGGCTTCTGCCTGCTGGTCCGTCTGCAAGGCAAGGGACAGGGGTCACCGCACCATCCATATCAGGCCACAGACCCCTCACACAGCATGGCCCAACAGGCCTGGCTGTGGGAAGAGCGTCTCCCCTGCTGCAGGACAATCCTATGTTGGCATGAACCACAGACACCAGCAACCCCTACAGTTCTGATCCCTTCCAGGCATCCATGAACAATGTGGGCTTCAGGGAGCCGTCAGCTCGAGTCTCCCACTATCTGGGGGGCTCCATTGTGCTGGGGTCATGGTCCCTTTGTACAGCCTTGGCATCCTGGGCATGCAGTGTTATTTTTGGGATCTCCTCAGCTCCCCTTGTAGGGATTGCTGGGGCTACAGCCGTGGCACCTGTCAACCCTGATCAAGTTTCTCCTGGAGGCGCAGGCCGGCCCTGGAGCCAGCAGCGATACTGTGTCGCATGACCCAGCACTCGGCTTTCAGCCACCCCCTGCCACCACTGCCTCTGTGCAGCTCTGAGCTCTGAACAGGGCTGAGATGGTGTCCCCAGGCACCTGCACTCCCTCAGCAGCCACACAGTCACCCTCAGATCTGTCCTGCAGGGGCTCTGTATCACCCCAATGCTTCCCTGCCCTCACCACCATGGTCAGCCCAGCATTGGGGACCATATCCCTACTGCCCTCTGCAGAGGCACCTCCACAGCTCAAATCCCCCTGGTGCCTCCTGCCCAGTCAGGTCTTGTCCTGGCACACAGCACATAGCACACAGCACACAGCACACAGGAGCGCTTACCATCTTGGGAATTTATGGTGCTTCCCACCCCCAGAGAACCACCAGGTCCTGCAGCAGGAACTCCCAGAAGCTTCGTGGTGCCCCTGGCACCCCAATTTGTACTGTCTCCTCTGTGGGATGTGTCTCCAGCTACTGCCCCCTGGCCCCCTCAGCCTATCAGTGCTCTGGTAGCACCCAGCCCTTCTCACTGGCAACTGGTGCCTTTACCTAATTTAGCCAAAGCTTTATTGGCCAAGAGCTGGGATTAACGTGGGGATGAGGCTGAGATGGAAATTCAAGCCCTTCAGGAGGGAGACCGAAGTTGTGGCAGGAGCACAGCTCTGCCCACCCCCAACATCCCCATCCAAGGCAGCTCAGCAATGAGGGGGTTAAAAATAGCCCTGGAGCCATCAGCATCACCCGGGTAAGGGGGACAAGGTCCCCCCTGCACAAGGGGCACAGGCTATCACCCACTGGCCCCTGAAAATGCAGCCTTTCCCGGGTAAAGCTCCCAATACCAAGCTGGTTTTCCCCAGTGCAGTGTCCCCCCACTTGCATCCCCATTTTCTGCTCCAGGGGACCCAGGCAGAGCAGTGTTGAAGCCCCCTGCCCCAGATAAGGAAGGGGTCCCCAGTGGAGCCTAGGGCATGAAGTCCCTGTAGAGATTTGGACCATGAGCCCCATGGTTTGGGGTCCCCAGCACTGTTGGCATCTGGTTCCGGAAATGGCTCCATCTTTTCGTGCTTCTGAGGAGTGGGAATTATGCCCGGTGCCTCCTCGAAGGCTCAGTCCTCACACTCACAGCCCATGCCAGCCACTGCTGCCAGGACCAGCTGGGACTGGTGGCTCTGGGGACACACTGGCCAAGTGGCCCATGCCCTGTGGTGCTCAGTCTCAGGGCTGCAGTAAAGTCAGGGTGACAGATCCCTGTCCCATAAGGTCCCAGTGCCAGGGACACCCAGGGCTTTCCTGGCTCCTGGTTTTGCCAGGACCCTCATTCACCAGGTGGGAGCTGGGAGCAAGTCCAGCCCCTAGTGCATCCCACCCTGCCCAGGGAAGCTCAGGGGTCCCATCTGAGCCCGGGTGGGGTGCAGGGTGCTGGAACACGGTGCAGTGAGCAAACGATGGACAGAGCGATGGCAGCAGCTGGGCTGGTTCCTCGATATTTATAGACATTCCCAAGGAAGTGGTGAGGAGTGAGCAGGCAGGCACTAAAAATGGCTGGGCAAGTGCTGAAAGCACAGCCTGGCTATGGGGTGCATGGTGAGGCTGACTGAGGCCAGGGTGGCAAGATGCCAGGGTGGTCTGGGGGACATCCCAGTGGGATCGGGAACCTGTGTCTGGGGTACCAGGATACAGGTGTGTTGGGGAACCTGTCAGGGCACAACGGTGCCAGGGTATTGGGGTATCAAGACCCTGGGACACCACAGCGCCGAGCACGGGAGTGTGGAGTTCCTGCGACCCCAGGGCAGATACCTGGGGCTCGGCCCGACCAGGACATCCCGGACAGGGGACAGAGGAACCGAGACCTGGAAGGGAGGGGTCGGTTCATAGACAGGGGCTGCGAGCAGCGCCGGGCTGAGCCCTGGCCCGAGAGTCCCGGACGGTGCTGCAGGGACCGATCCCGATCTCGGCCGTGTCGGGCAGCGCCGGGGGAGTCGATCCCGATGGTGCCGGACTGTGCCGCAGGCTCCGATCCCGATCCCGATCCCGGCCGTGCCGGGCGGTGCCGGCTCCGCCGCTCCGATCCGGGTTCCCGGCGGAGGCGGAGCCGCGCAGGGAGGATCCCGGGACGAGCCGTGGTGGAGCGGCCATCGCTCGGCACTACCCGGCTCAACTCGGCCCGGCCCGGTGCAGCGCGAACGGACCGGGGCGGGGCCAGCACCGGGAGGGTGTCCCGGGGCCGGGCTGTCCCCGCGCGGGGCCGTGCCACGGTGGGCAGCCCCCGGCCCCGCCGTGCCGCGGTGCCGGCCCGGACCCCCCGGCAGCGATGGCCGCCCGCATCCTGCACCGGCTGCGGCACGCGCTGGCGGGCGAGGGCGGCCGGGAGGAGCCGGCGGGCGGCGGCGGCGAGGCCGAGGATTGCCCGGAGAGCTCGGAGCTGGAGGACGACACCGAGGGGCTGTCGACGCGCCTCAGCGGCACCCTGAGTTTCACCAGCCACGAAGACGAGGAGGTAGAGGAGGAGGGGGACGGAGCTAGCGAGGAGCTGGAGGAGCCGCCGCAGGCGCCGGGGACGGCAGCAGGCACGGAGGACGGAGGCAGGTGCTGGGGTGGTGAGCTGGGGGGACTTCAGGGAACACTGGTGCGCTGGTGGCGTCCGGCAGCCCGACAGATGTCAGAGCCGTGTCCCCACGGAGGGCACTGACCACCCCTCTCCCACAGAGTGGGTCTCTGCGGCGGAGCGTCCCGGCAGCAGCCTGCTGACCCGGCAGCTGCAGGAGCTCTGGCGGAGGTCGCGGGGCAGCGTGGCACCGCAGCGGCTGCTCTTCGAGGTCACCAGCGCCAGCGTGGTCAGCGAGCGCTCTTCCAAGTACGTGGTGAGTGAGCCCGGCGCGGCTGGGCGGGCACGGGGTGCGTACGAGTCCTG